CCGGGGGTCGGAAGACCCTGAAGCGAACTGCGCCTAGGTAGGGAAGAGGGGTCTGAGGGGAGAGATTGAGCAGAGGTAGAAGGGTTTGGAGGAGGAGGTATTGACGGCTCCGAGCGGGACTCCCTTGAACGTCGGTCAAACTCTTTTTCCAACGCTTTGTGGCGCCTTAAGGCGTCACGTTGGGCGGCCTTGGAAGGTTCCTTGTCCTGTCTAGAGCCCTTAGGTTCCTTGTCCTGCCTGCGCAAGTAGTGGGACTTTGCCTTAGCCTTCAAAGAAGGACGTTTGGAGGGATTGTCGTCTGCCATGTTAGATACAATTACTAGCAAAGGCGGTTGGCTCGCCCAGATCAGGCCTGGATGAGGCCGGGTGAAGGTGAAGCTGGCCCTCTCCCCCTTTTGGAATTTGTTGTGTACAGAGATAACAGTAAGGTATCTAAGAAATATAGTATGTACAGAAAAATAGATACTCTAATTGTAATTCTTCCTTATCCTTTTGATTGATTTTTATCTTTATTATGCTTTTGTACCAAATGTATATACAGGTTATCCGTATATATTTATATATCTACGAAAAAATATTATTGTACAAGACAAAAATTATTATTATAATTATTATTATTATTATTTTTTTTTTTAATATATTCCTTTTGTATATGTATTAAGTATATATATATATAGATAGATTTTTTTTTTTTTTTTTTTAAACAGTAACCGTAACAGTGAGAACTTCGTATATCTCAGTACAGGCCAATCAGTCAAATAAACACCTGAGGCCTATGGTAGAAGAAAGAGCCTCTGGCAGCAGGCCTCCAGACAAGAAAAATAAAACCGGAGGGGGGGGGCTGCAACTTCGCCCCGAAAAACGGGCTGCGGGAGGCCAACAAGTAATACAAGGGCCAGCCAGGTGGAAGAAATGGGCAGCTAAGCTTTGACCCAAGGCCTGGGGCTCCAATTCACCGCAGCTAAGAAATTCAAAATGGCGCCCGACCACGATGCGGAGCCAAAATGGCGGCCGCAAGCTGAACCGTCGGGACGCCTTCGGGACGGAAGGGAGGGCTTTGCTGGTCAGCTCAGCGCCTAGGGCCCTAGGGGCGATGACCCTCCCGATCGGTGTTTAAGGTGGGGGGGAATCCAGCAGTAAAGGAAAAACGCGTGCCACGAGGCAACGCGGAGGCAGCGAAGCGATCTGATAAGGGTGGGGGGGGGTCGCGCTATCGCGCTGCGAACCCGCAGCCTTGCCCCAAGGACGGGGAAAAATTTTCCCTTAAGTCCAGACCCTTTGCGCAGGAGGAGGAAGGAAAAGCAAACCTTATCAAGACGAGAGGGTTGTAATAGGAAAGAAATGTGCGATCAGCCAAGGAGCTCTCTGAAAACACAGCCTGACTCTTCGAGGCTGAGCAAAAGACTGGGGAGACGCTGCGCGATACCACGTGAGGGGGCGGAGCGTTTCCTCATCTAAAGCTCAGCCTGCAAGAAGAGGACTCAGAAGCACATCCCAGTCTCTGGATGCTCCGAGCGGCTCGAGGGAGAATAAAGAATTTAGGAGCCACCAGCATACGCCAATGATTCTTAACTGATAAAGCTCAATAAAGACTCATTAGGTTTATGTAACAGAGATTATGAAAACCTCAGTTTTGTCATGGCCAGCTTTGATGTGGGAAACATTTGTTGTTGTAATATCTGGCAAGTCCAATTATCTGGCAAGTGCACAAATTAGCCTTTTGGTTACTATTGTATAGATAGTATTTCTTCCATTAGAACCTGAAGTAACACCCTTCTATAATGCAGCATCATATTGGATTCTGAAGCAGCATGCCATATTCTATCCAAGGTACAGTTTTTGAACTTTACCTCTGCCAACATCATGGTTAGAACAGAAATGAGTATCTGTGAGCAAGATCAAACTTCATAAATCCACTCAATGTGGATTTGAATTCAGATGCTAATTGTATTTGACAACTTTGTTCATAGGTTCAGCAAAAGTTGTCAAATTTTATTTTTATCATTTGTGACTTACGTTCCATACTGTCCACATCATTTAAAGGCAAGTGCCATTCTTTTGAACTGAATCTATTTCTTTGGAGTCAGAAGAGGAAGTCATGCTCTGTTCATATACAAACCAAGGAAATTAAAATATGTGGATTTAAACTGCTTTAGCCTCATCATTTTTCAGTGTGCAGGAGTTGGTGATCCCAGGAAAACATGCAGCTGCTCTACAGAATTGCAGACAGCTGCTGCATTTGTGCCCCTAAGAATTGCAAAGCATCCTTTTGGAATCAAATACAAAATTTTATACCAGTCTATATGAACAATCCATTCTTTGCTGGAGAGACATTTTTATGGTGTGTGCGTGTGTGCATATGTTTGTGTGTGCACACACAGGCTTGTGAAAGATAAAGCAGTTATTTCCTCAATTCAGTTTTTTTTTTGGGGGGGGGGCATCTATAGTATTCACACTAGTGGTAATTAAAGAAATTTTAAGCAGGTCTTTCTAAAACAAAAAAATGAAGAGCTACCGCAACTCCTGCGAAGGAGATAAGTGGTTTTAAAATTTTGATAAATATATTTTATTTAGTTAAAGCTCCATGGTAATTGGGAGACTTCAAGATAGACCGTGATAGATATGAACTATTGATTCATTGTTTATAAAGTTAGTTTTGCAGGTGAGATGCATGGTTCACTCTTGTTGCAACTTGTTTTCCCATTAGTACCATACACATTGCTGTAAGCTTTTTAAGCACTGTCTTATTGACATTTTTCTGTGGCTGGAAAATGAAATTTAAATCACAGCTTTGGATCTGTGTTCCCTTATTCTTTCCTACTCAGTTGTTTCAAAGTATACATTGTGTGCATAGCAGTTTGGTTACACTAGTGATTGAATTTTTGGATTCTGTATATGATTTGGCTGATTCTTGGCACTGGAATGGTTTTTCAGGCTTCCCTTTGACTTTTCCCTGGGGGGGAAAATATCAGGATAATGTTGAATTCAGTGAGATGTGAATTTATTATCCTTGAATAACAACAGGTCATTTAGTGATTGTTTAAAGTTACAACGGCACTGAAAAAAAAGTGACTTAAGACCATTTTTTTACACTTACAACCTTTGTAGCACCACCATGATCATGTGATCAAAATTCAGATTTTTTTTTTAACTGGTTCATACTTATGATCACTGCTGTGCCCCAAAGTCATATGATCAACTTTTGTGACCTTCTGACAGACAAAATCAACGGGGAAGCTAAGATTCACTTAAAAACCAGGTTACAAACTCATCAACTGCAGTGATTCACTGAACAACTGTGACAAGAAAGATAATAAAGTGGAGCAAATCTCGCTTAAGAAATGTCTCACTTAACAATGGAAATTTTGGGCTCAATTGAAGACTACCTCAACTGAAGACTACCTGTAACCAGTTAACTATGGAGAGAGTTCCAAAATATTTGTGGGCTTTCAATAAGGGGGAGGTAGAGACTAGATCTATAACATTATGGTACCTTGGGATCAGCAGATAATAAGGGATTATCTTCTACTTGGTTAGAGATCAGCAGAATTGTCAGAGCTGTTTGTTATCCTATCCTATTCCTGCATGGGTGGTGATTTGCTTTTTACTTTGGCTGCATAGGATTGCTAATACACGTAGTCCTAGACTTAGACCACAGTTGAGCCCAAACTTTCTGTTGCTAAGCAAGACAGTTGTGAAATGAACCCCTGCCCCCATTTTACAATGTTTCTTGCCACAGTTATTAAGTAAATCTCTTCAGTTGTTAAGTTGATAACATGGTTGTAAAGTTAATCTGGCTTTCCCATTGACTTTACTTGATAACAGATAACAGATAATCAGAGTTGGAAGGGACCTTGTAGGTCATCTTGTCCAACCCCCCACCCAGGTGGGAGACCCTACACCATTTCTGACAAATGGCAGTCCAATCTCTTCTTGAAAGTCTCAAGTGATGACACTCCCACAGCTTCTGAGGGCAACTGTTTCATTAGTTGATTGTTCTCACTGTCAGAAAGTTCCTCCTTATTTCCAGGTTAAATCTCTCCTTGTTCAGTTTCCATCCATTGTTCCTTGTCTGGCCTACAGGTGCTTTAGAAAATAGCTTGACCCCTTCCTCTCTGTGGCAGCCCCTCAAATATTGAAAGACCGCTATCATGTCTCCCCTGGTCCTTCTCTTTACTAGACTAGCCAAGCCAAGTTCCTGTAACCGCTTGTAAGAAGGTCACAAAATGATCCTGGGACACCGCAACTGTCATAAATATGAGTCAGTTGCCAAGCATCTGAATTTTGATCACATGCCCATAAGGATGTTGCAACAGTTGTAAATGTGAAAAAGTCACTTTTTTCAGTGTCGTCATAACTTCAGTCACTAAATGAACTGTTCTAAGTTGAGGACAACCTGTATGTTTCTTGAGCATTTTATCAAAATATAAAGAACATGGGATATGCTGTGCTAATTTTATCTTATAAGAGAAATTATACATACTAACAGAATTTTAAAACAAAGTTCTTGTTTCAGGGCAGATGGTAATCTCTTAGATGAAATCCATCTCAAGAAAAGATTGTTATTTTGTTACATTTGTGTACTGGGCCTTGAATTTTCTTCCTTTCCCTCTGTCTCTTTCTCTCCCTCTTGGTGAAGATTAACAGCAGATCAGAAAATTGTTTTGTAGTTTCCCAATGATCCAATAGCTGAATGATAAAGGACTAGGGGGGAAAGTAACTAGGTACATTTTTGTACAAAAGACCTTACATTTGGGGTGTGTATTTGTAATGAAAAGGTAATTTCAGGCCTATGCATCTTTTCCAATTTGGAATAAACTCAACCATGTTTTTGGGCATGCTGTTGAATTTTGTCCATATATAGGACAATACTTATTATGCTGTATCATTTGCCCATTTGTTAAACTGATACACCATAATAAGTATTCAAAGAAATAGACTTCAACATTTTTTTTAAAAAATGTATTTAGTATCATTTTTATTAGTAGCATTCACACATTAGGTGAACATGACAGTAGGATGTTTCCATGGCTCATCAGATTCTTTACACAGAAAATAATATAGAAATAAAAAGATCTCTGAAGTGCTATCACCGGGAAGTCTCACAACGGACCCACTGCAAAATTCTCCATATGAATCCTTTTAAAACACAAATTGCTAACATTGTTTCAGTGGAAGCATTATAAAGGAAAGACAAATATGACATCTTGTGCAGAATGCTATGATAAGGGTTGAGGATCCAGTATCACTGCAAAAACAATGCCTGCTTCAGGAAGATAGATGGTTTGCCTGTGGAGGGGGAAAAAAGCAATTAGGGAAACAACCTATTTACAGAAAGTCAATGTATGATCTCTCCGGTACTCTACACCAGTGTTATAGTCCAATGACAAGTATAATGCTTTGGCCAAATAGACCCATTTAACTAATTCCTTAGCTATTGTAATACAATTTCTTTTGCCCTATTCTCCTTAGCGTGTCTAGTCCATTGCAACCCTATTGATTTGGTGGAGTGCTGGTCTCTACATCTTTGTTGTTGTTGTTCGTTGCAAAGTCGTGTCTGACCCATCGCGACCCCGTGGGCAATGTTCCTGCAGGCCTTCCTCCATCTTCTGGAGTCCATTTAAGCTCACGCCAACTGCTTCAGTGACTCCATCCAGCCACCTCATTCTCTGTCGTCCCCTTCTTCTATTGCCCTTAATCTTTCCCAGCATCTCTTCTCCAGTGAGTCCTCTGCATCTTATGTCCCTAAAAAACTTGTTTATCCCCTCCAATTAGTCTGACCCAGACTCAGATTTCTTTATGTATCATTGGGACCAGAATTGGATACAATATGCCATGTGTGCCCAATATTAATGCAGTATAGGACAGTAATATTACTTCTCATGATCTTAATGCTATCCCTGATAATTCAGCCTAGGACCAGGAGACTTCGATCCCTTTCGCAGGCATTATTGTTAAGCCATGTGCTACCTATTCTGTACATGTGCATTTGATTTTTCCTGCCTAAATGCAGGGCTTACTTTTCTTTCCATTGAACTGCATCTTGTTGCCCAATGCTCAAGTGTCAAGATCCTTCTGAATCCTACATCTACCTTCCAAAGTGTTAGTATTTCCCCTGAGCTTGGTGACATTGCAAATTTGATGAGCTCCTCTTCTGTCCCCTCATCTAGATCATGTATGAAGATTTTGAAGAATATTGGCTCCGATACAAAACTTTCAGGTACCCCACTGCATGCTTCCCTCCAATGTAATTCCATCAGGAGTGGGATTCTACCAGTTCATACCGGTTCAGGCAAACCAGATATTAAATTTACATCTGGTTCGCCAAACCGGTATTTAAACTGACTGGCTGGCTCCGCCCACCCCACCCTGCCCCTCCTAGAAGTCTCCAAGTTGCCCATTTTCGATGCAGGTAAGTGCAGGATCTGCACAGAGGCTCTGAGAAGAGGAAAAACGGGCCTTTTGGAAGTCTGGAAACGGGCCTGTTTCCAGCTTCCAGAGGACCTCCACAGCCGAGGGGAGGCTGTTTTCACCTTCCCAGAGGCCTGAGGGAAGCCTCTGGACCCTTGGGAAGATGAAAAACAGCACTCCCAGAAGTTCCAGTAGGCCACACCAACCATGGCCATGCCTACCCAGCAACTGGGGAGCGAACCGATTCCTGGGAGTTTTGAATTCCACCCCTGAATTCCATTGAGGATCACACACAGAGTATGGTTGGTTAGCCAACCATAAATCCATCCAACAGAAGTATTGTCTATCCCCACATTGTTCTATCTTATCAAGGAGTAGGCCGTGATCTAGTTTATCAAATGTCTAATAATAATTCTATCCACAGCATTTCCTTGATCCAAAAGGCAATAAGGCTTGTTTGGCATGATTTGCTTTTAACAAACCCATATTGGCTTCTAGTAACCACCTTGTTCATTTCCAGATGCTCACAAATCTGCTGCTTGGTTTTCTTTTCCGAAATTTTCCCAGGTATTGATGTCAAGCTGATTGTTCTGTAGTTTCCCGAGTCCAATTTCTCTCCTTTTTGAAGATTAGGACCATATCAGCGCTTTTCTAGGCCTCTGGCAGTTTCCTCATGCTCCAGGAGCTCCGAAAGATTTTATTCAGTAGTTCTGAATAAAAAAAAAAGAATAAAATCTCATCTGCCAGCTCCTTCGGGACCTTGGGATATAAACCATCTGGTAATCATGTAATCATGATAATCATGTAATATAGTCATCAATACATTATCCTACAGCAAAAGTCCTTGAAGGCATGTACAATAAAAGTGACAATAAAATAATAATGAATTAAAGCAATGATTAAAACCTACATAGCAGTGGAAATGCAAAAAAAAATTGAAAAGATTCAGGAATTTTTTTAAAAAAAGCTAAAAAAGAGGTAATTACTTAAAACATTCAACAAGTTTTTGCCTAATCTCACATTGCCTGTATGTGTGAGCACTTGGAACAGGTCTTTGTTGATCTTCTCAATTTCAGATAGTACACAACATAGGAAGTAGTTGGCCTTCACATTCCCAAGATCTAAAGAAATACAGTATAGTCAATGCCAACAGGCTGAATTCATCCTGAAAATCAGCTGAGAAATGATAAATCTGATGTTATATCATAATATTCTAATATCCAATTCTGGTCACTATTTTTTGTATGAACTGAACTTTCATACAAAATCATTCTCAAAGTCAGTCCTTGAAAAATGAATTTTAATCATTCTAGTAGGAGATTACTAAGATGTAGATCAATAAAGATAGGCTTTCTTTACTTGATTTACCATCCAAACTGGTAAAAGGCAACTCTTTGGCAAAGGGTGCTGGTGTGACTCTAGGGACAATAAAGTATGTATCAACAATCCCAAGTTATGAATGTGGTCCTTTAGGAGGAGTAGAACCCTTCCAGAATATGCTAAACTCTTCATGCAGGCAGATGACTCACCAGGGAGCACTTCTGTCTTGCATGGTTTGAACTGCAGATTACTGACCCTCCTCCAGACGATTACAGCAACCAGACTTTGGTTAAGCATTTCCACTACCTCACCTGGATGAGATAAAAATGAGAGACCAATTGTTAAGATTTCAGTGGAGCTATGTCCTGGGATTGAAAGAGTAAGCAGAGTAAGAAGTACAACATACTCTGCGGTACAGTGGAATGCAAGGTAAACCTCTTGGAAACTTCCCAGTGAGGAACCAGCAGAAACATAAAGGATCAACAGCAGAAGAGTAGGAATGATGCAGGATAAGAATGTATTAGACTCTTATCTTTTTTCCTACAAGTTCCCTCCTCCTCTCCTGATCCCTCACCTCCATGTCTTCTTTTGGAGGCAAGCTTTTATTGAGATAATTGGGGAAATGCTCCTCTGTCTCATTTAGTCCCAAGAAGCCAAAATGTGATATTGCGAGGAATAAGACACCATAAGCTACTTAATGTCACCCAAGCAGATGTCTGCTTGAACAGTTAGGATTTCTTTTTGCTGTCCTCCCCACCTCTTTTGACTAGTTCCATGTACAGCAGAACCTCTGGTCACGAACATTCTGACCATGACCAAATCGGGTTCTGACCCAAAAATTCACACAAGATTTTTTTTTTTTTTTCATGGCTGATTTTCCCTTCCACGCCAACTTTTTTTTGGCAAGCGCCAAATTTCCAAAATTAGGTTCGGGTCACGACCAAATCGGGTTGCAACCAAAGTTATGGAACGAATTACGATTGTGACCAGAGGTTCTACTGTATCTTCCAAATCTTGGTTTTCCAATCTTCATTAACAAATTAAGGAATGAACCAAAAAAGGGAAGTCCATCCTGCCATCAATTAGCTTTCAATATTTGAGAAGCAGTAGAAATGGTTGCAGTGAAATGTCTGGAATCCCTTTGATAAATGCATTGATGTATCTGGGAAGAAACTACATTTGATGTTTAAAGGCCATTGTCTCACCTTTGCCAACACCTCCTGCTACCTCTCAGTTTTCTCCCTCATTTAAGAAAGTACAGCATGGGGTGGGGTGGGGAGTGGAATCCATAAATCCTAATATCTTCTGCTGTTAGTCTTGGATGGAATAGTAGAGATCAGGATTGTTCTATCTGGTTCCAGAATTCTCCTTTTTTTGTTTTTTACTGGTAACTTTTCAGCAAAATACCTGTCACCAGAATTTCCATTTATATGTTCAATGGTATTTGTTTGATTTATCTTTTCTTATTTATCTTATTTGTTTGATTTATCCTTTCCCATATTTTCTCCATGAGCTCAAGGCAATACAGCTAAATCTCTTTTCTTCAAATTTCTCCCAGAATTAAACTACTACCAAATTCACTTAGTGAATTTCCATGCTTGAAAGTGGGCTGGAACTGGGATCTCCTACTCTAATTTTAACCATGACCATGTCAGCACTCTAGATATTAGAGCAAATAGATTTTTTCTATCCTGAAAAGCCATTTGTCCTAATATCTGAAATGAATCTTTCATACCAGTCTTACGTGTTATTATTGGTATGCTATGGTTGATTATAAGTTGCCCACCCTTGTTATAAAGGATATTTTCAACTGTTTTTAGAATTCTAATGAGATATTAGATATAGCAATTATGCCAACTCCCAGCACTGTAAATGGTGCCCAGAAGACAAAGGGGAACTTAGGCAGATGCAGGAATACTTGTGTAACTTGTTCTATAAAGTCATTCTTCAACATCTCCTCACTTAACACTCATTCTGTAATATATTGTTGGTCCAGAAAAATCAACACCTCCTGTAAAGCAGTAGTTAAGATTTCTTTCCTATATGAAGTAAACTATAAGGAAGATTTGTAAGGCTTGTCTTTTGCCAATTTTGTACACATCATGAATAATCCCCAAGCATTACAGTAGTATAATCCTTTTTCAATAACATTCACCTTTTAACTCTTCTACAATTAATCAGAGGAAGAAAAAAGAGACAACTTATACTTTGATCCCATTATGAAAACTTAGTCTGAATGAAGTTGGCAGACTTAAGCATGCATATTTATACACAAAATTCAGAGATTGAATTTCTGCCTCAAGACATACACAGAGGAGGATCTCGCTGAAGAAAGGTGGGAGAGAGCGTATTTGTCAGTTCTGCTTTAAACTTCTAGATGAACTCCCACATTGTTTCAAGGACTCCACTTACTCCAGAAAGCCATTTCTCAGCGAGACATTTGGAGCAGTGGTGGGATTCAATTTTTTTTACTACCAGTTCTGTGGGCATGGCTAGGGGGCATGGGTAGGGGGCATGGCCACATGACTAGGTGGGTGTACCTTTTTTTTTGCTTTTTGTAGCATTCCCCCCAATTTTTGGGCCTTCTGGGCCTCAGGAAAGCCTCCTGGGGGGGGTGCATTTTTGCTTCCCGAAGGCTTCCCTAGGGCTCAGGAAGGTAGAAAACTCAGGAAGGTAGCACCCCACCCCCCATGCTTCATTTTGGGGCCTCCCTGGGGCCCAGGGAAGCATCCTGGGCAAAGCAATAAGTAAGCGAGGGGCGTCCCGGCACAGCTGATCGTAGGAACAGCTGATTGTCAGGAGAGGAAAAAAAGAAATACCTTAAGGAATGACTGGGCGGGCTAGCATCAGGCAGGCTGGTTGAGCGAGCATCGGGCAGGCGGGGCAAGCGAGCAACCAAGGACCAGGTCAGGGACGTGGCCAGCCAGAAGTTACTACCGGTTCAGCAACCCACACCATATCCTTGCTTCCGGTTCAGTTGAACCAGTACAAACTGGCTGAATACCACCACTGATTTGGAGAAGACTTTTGAGAATATCATCAATAGCCAAGAAAACAAACAAAGGAATCGTGGAAGAATATGGTCACAAATGACTAGGCTCATATTGTCGTATTTTGGATAGATAATACAAAGACCCAGTTTCCTTGAAAATTCCATAGTTCTAGGCAAGGAATGAAAGTGAAGAAAACGATATTCAGCAACAAGGGAGATGAACTCAGTGATAGCAATGATGGATACCCCAGTGTATGGCCAGGTGAGGAACAGATCATCCTGGAGACAATCTAACTATGGGATTACTAGGCATCAGCATTGACTTGATGATATGAATCAGTCAATCAAGGAAAGGAAAGAATTGATGAAAATAATCTCTCTTACTTCCTCCAGCAGGAACATTGTCTAAAAAGGTTTAGCTCATACTAAAATAGAAAACATTATTTGTGGAAAGAAAATACACTTTAAAACCTCTTACATTATGCTCCCAATTTATTTGAAATCAGTCATTCATTTTAGATCTAAAAATCCATTTTTTTACATTTCAGAAGAAAGTATTTGTCTTTGGAACTGTGTACTTGAAAACACAAGAAACCCATTTGAAAATAAGTCTTAGATAGTACATATCTAATTAAGTAACATTCTGAAACACACTGAAACACATTATTTCATAAGTTCTTTAATGGCAGGTGAATAAAATTATAACATTTTAATACAAGTAGTTCTTGACTTACAGCAGTTCGTTTAGTGACTGTTCAAAGTTACAGCACTGAAAAAAGTGAATGATGACTGTTTTTCACATTTATGACAGTTGCAGCATCTCCAAGGTCCTGTGATCAAAATTCAGATGCTTGGCAATTGGTTCATATTTATGACAGTTGTGGTGTCTCAGAGTCATGTAATCAACTTTTGCGAACTTCTGATGAGCAAAGTCAATGGGGAAGCCAGATTCACTTAACAACCGAGTTACTAACTTAACTACAATGATTCACTTAACAACAGTGGCAAGAAAAGTTGTAAAATAGGGCAAAACTCACTTAACAAATGTCTTACTTATTGACATAAATTTTGGGCTCAATTTTGGTCATAAGTCAGGGACTACCTGTAGTTTTCAGTAAATCAGACAATAATAAAGATTATTCAATGACAATATGTTATACTGAAACCTACTTAATCATTTTACTTAATTTGCCTTCTATGCTAGGCCATAATATTTGGCCATGAGAAACAGAAGATACTATTGGAATGTGTACAGTGTTTTCCTCCCTCTTGTCCCTACTCCATCCAGTAAGCAGCAACTGGCTATCCCTGATATCAGTAGCATAACATGGAGGTCATTGTTGGAGGTTGCGGCTTTGAGAAAAGACAACTTGCATGATGTCACTATAGAGATGTTCCCTGGAGTTCAGGATGTTGTACATGGAAGCTTATTTTTGTGGGGTCCCACAGCAATCCCCACTAAATAGATTGGGCTGAGTGGTACTAGGTGCCCTTCATTTACAAAACATGCTTTAATTCTAAATAGTTATTTGGGCTGTTAGCTTCCTGGTTCAAATCCAACCACTTCAGTGCCTCCATCCAATCATTTGATTAGATTTCTGTGGCAAGCAATCTTGACACATAATCAAATACTGTATCCCTGACTATTATATATTTAATTATGTTTATATCCTTCCATATTTTAATGTGTATGGATCATTAAATGTCCCACAATAAAGGACATTTGTATATAACATTTGAGTAGAAATGTAACGTTCATAATACTGTTTGAAAAACTAGCCTTTTATTGTGTTATGCTAAGAAAGTGTGAATGTATTGTAGTCTAGCCAAAGCAAAGCAAGTTTAACATTTATTTTGATGGCATAGATAAACTTTTGATTAATTTAACTTCCACTGAGATACCATATACACTAACCTTACATTTCAGAACAGCAGTCAAGGAATTATATATTGTACCCAAGTGATCCATCCATGTGAGAAGATCAGAGAGCCTCAATCATGCTATAGGCAGTGCTTGTAACCTTATCCCAGGGTCTCATTGCACCTAGTATTCTAAGTGTCAAATGAAGGTAGCACAGCACAGCTGAAGTAATGACAAACCATCTTCATAAAAAACAGAATGTGTGTAAGGCACACGATTTTGAATAATTGTCTTTACATGAAAAATGATAGGATCTGGACAAAGTCAGAAAACACAAGTTTGTGCCTTAGCTAGGAAACTGTAAGGCAATGAATGATCTGTCCCACTAATGAAAAGAATAAAATAAGACAATTTGATGGTTTCCTCCAACTTCTCCCAAAACTGAGTCAGCCTATGTATTTATGGGTATTGAATGAATTTAAAAATTGGAATTCATGTTTACTATTTAGACAGTGCTAATGCACTAACTATTTATACTACTGTAATTGTTAAATGTCTGTATTGGGTAGCAGTTGAATCAACTGAAAATGTGTAATATATGCTCAAGATGTTTTGGATCAATAACTGTCTATTAATACAATGAGCATGAACTCAAAGGTAGTGTGGTTTTAGTAAATGGCACACAAATGATGAGTGGTATGTTGTGTATGTGTTTCTTGTGGGTAAAATACAAGTACCAAACCAAATCATATCATATCTATGGAATTCTAAGCTTCACTTATCTTTATAAATATTATGGCTTCTATTAAACCATTTTATCATGAAAGTCAATTCCATTGGAATCAGTAAAATTTCGTTCCAGGTAAAAACTAAGCCTCAGATTTATAGTTCCTTGAGTAAAAATGAGTATAATCTGAATGCTCTAAATTGTGGCCTTTTATAGGATCAAATGCAAAGTATTCATCAAGGCGTTTCTTTTCAGAGAATGAGAATCATTTTTACTAAAAGCCTAAAACTGTGAAGGCATTTGGTAGGAAAATATTATTTCCACATTAGAAATGACTGCTGTCTATTTTAAGTATCTCTTTACACTAGTTGCCAGTAGCTTCCTTAAACATCTAAACATTTATTTTTACTCAGCAGAGAAGGGAAAGTTTATATTCAATGAGATTTTACAGAAAGCAAATAGAAATCTGACGAGCAAATTATTAATTGTGCATGCAATTTTATAAATATTCAGCGGAGGTGTCCTAAATGAGCAAATAGGTATCAACAACTCAATTATTCCAAATGCAGTAACAAGTAATACATTTAGCAACAGATCCTAAATCAATCAACTGGATTCACAGCTGAAGAATAAATGTTTAGGCTTGAAATGGCAAATGTCAACTGTTTAGGTAATTACAACTGGATCCTAATAGTGATGATGAAAAAGTGCAAGAATAATGTTCACTGTTGTACACTTACAATTGGCTGTACCTAATTTACCAGGACAATTCTACCAGACTCTGATCCTTAAAAAACCCTTATCAATGTGACTTCCAAAAGATTCATTTATTTATTTATTTTGTCAAGTGATTATAAGATAACAGGTATAAGTATAAACATAGTTATGAATACATGAAATGGATACATATAAGAAAAATAAAAAGATGGACAGATGTTAAGAGTTACAGGTGATCCGAAGAATCGTCTAGCAAAGAAACATGTCTATCTGAAAGCAGGGGTGTTTATTGGATGTCCTATAATTGTCATGAATGGGCTGGTGTCTTTAAACACAGAGAAAAAAAATGCAGAGTCCAAGATCTTGCCTCCTCTGGACAAAGTCGCTGCAACTGGAACGGTGACTTGCTCTAAAGCAAGGGGGGGGAGTTTCGGGACTGGTTCAGTGGGGAAGAGGCCTAGCCTGGGGCTAACCCACCCTCTCTCTGTCCCTCTGCAATACACGTTTTTGTTGTTTTTTATGAGGACAGACGAAACAGAGAGATTAACGGGGAGGGTGGCTGGGATGGAGGTCTGTTACCCGTGCGCTCCTCTTATCTTGAAAAGTACCCATAGTGACAAACGGGATGAAAGAGAGGTTTTTTTGGGAGGGGGGATTTGGCTGTTCTTGCTTCTTGTTTTCAGGCATTCTCATCCTCTTTTGGGGGTCAAAAAGTAAGGAAGAAAGGAAGGAAAGAAGGAAGGAAGGAAAGAAGGAAGGGAGGGAGGATGGAAGGAAAGAAGGGAGGAAGGAAGGGAGGGAGGAAGGTAGGGAGGGAGGAAGGAAGGAAAGAAGGGAGGAAGGAAAGAAGGAAGAAAAGAAGGAAGGGAGGAAAGAAGGGAAAAAGGGAGGGAGGGAGGGAGGAAGGAAAGAAGGGAGGGAGGAAGGGAGGGAGGAAGGAAGGAAAGAAGGGAGGAAGGAAAGAAGGAAGGGAGGGCGGAAGGAAGGGAGGGAGGGAGGAAGGAAAGAACGGAGGGAGGGAGGGAGGAAAGAAGGAAGGAAAGAAGGGAGGGAGGAAGGGCGGGAAGAAGGAAGGGCGGGAGGAAGGAAGGAAAGAAGGAAGGAAGGGAGGAAAGGAAGGGAGGGAGGGAGGAAGGAAGGGAGGGAGGGAGGAAGGAAGGAAGGGAGGGAGGAAAGGAAGGAAAGAAGGAAGGAAGTAAGTTGGTTCTTAATGCTAAATACACCCCAGCAACTCTGGCGAAACTGTATTCCGAAGACGAGTTGGTGGTCCCGGCGGCTTCCCAACTTTTTCTTGCGCCGATCCCTTTGCCTTGAGAGCGCACGGACTGCCGACAGCGGTTCTCGGCGGGGCGGGAGGCTGAAGGATCAAACCGAACTCAGACCTTAGAAATTAGGGCCGATTTTGATAGGTTGTTATCTACGCTGGGCGGCGTTTTACCCTTATTCCGCTATTGGGTCTGCGGCCGCTTTTTCCTCTTAAGCTCTGCCTTTTGTTTGCGCGCGGGCCGAGAGCGACGAGCGGAGCGCTCTTCCTACCCTTTTCAGTCCTCCCTCCGAAGACTGTAATTGATTCGAAAAGGTTTCCGGCTGCCAGATGTGGGCTTGGACCGGGGACTCTGTTGACAATGGGTCGTCGGGGGGGGGGGGGGGGGGGGAGGGGTTGTTTGGAAAATAAGATAATGATCTTAAAGTTTATAATGGAAGGGTGAATAGGAAGACTCTTCCCCCCCCCCGCCCCGCCTTCGCTCTCCACCGCTCCGAAACAGAGAGCAGGGTCTCGGATTCTCGCTGCTCCCGGAGTGGGACCTTTTTGGAAGGGTCAGAGAGGGAAGGCGAGGACGCGCCAAGTTTTGAGTTGCTTTGGAAAGCGCCGGAGCCCGAGGACCGCACGAAGCCCCCCCCCCACCGCTACAGCCTCTCTTCGGGCCCCCGTGGTCGCGTCAGCCTAAGCAGGCAGGGGTTCCGTATGTTGTAAACCACAAACAGCTTCGTCGTTAGAAATCCCAGCCTCCGCCCCACCGCGCACCCGTTCTGGACTCCCCAAGTCGGTCCCTTTCAATTGGCTGCTCTTTTTTGCTTCGGCTTTCCGAAGCGCTGGCCGAAGTCAAGAGTTGTTCGCCTTCCTCACATGAAGTCAGCCCATTTTAGAAGCTCGCCCCCGACAATCCGCCCCCTCCACGCACACAGACGGACACGCTTTCGTCCCACGCAGTCTGTTCCTCCGGTCGGACAGATTCTCGAGCTCCGGAGCCGCCTAAAGTTCCCGTCCTCCTCCCTCCTCCTCATTGTTTTGACTACTTTTCCTTTCCTTAAACCCCTCCCCAGAGAACTTGCCGCTTTTGCGGAAGAAGAACTCAAAAGCTCGTTTCTGAGCGAAGGGCAGGCAGACTTTTGGCTAAGCAGCTCTCCTCCCAGTTCCCTTTACCGAGCACTACCCCAAAGCGACGCAAAAACTCGCGAGCGGAGAGTCCCCACCAAGTTCACACTCGCACCTTCGTTTTTTATTCCAAACTCGGGTGGAAGTGCGGGGGTGGGGGGTGCGGCGGGGGTGGGGGTGTTGCTCCAAGACCCTCGTTAGGAAAAGCGAGCAACTCACTCCTCGCTTCCAGCCAATAAATCTTGCCCGGAGGAGCGGCAAGAAACGCTCGAGGAAGCTACTTTGCCTCCTCGCTCTTCCAGCCCTTTAGGACACCTCCTAAAGGAAAGGAGAAAATAAAAGACGGCGGGGAGGGAGGGGGGCACAAAGCAGCCCAAACGCGTAGCAGTGGAAGGAAGACGCGCTGGTGCGAGGAAGGGAGAGAGAGACACACACAGAGAGAGACAGACAGACAGACAGACACACACACACACACACAGAGAGAGAGAGACGGAGCGCGCGAGCGAGGCGGAACGCAGCGAAAAGGGAGGAAGAGGCGCGCTTCGCAGCTCTGCCGCAGCCGGGACTTCGCCGCGGCGCTTGGCCAAGCAGCCGCGCGGCCGCCCAAGCGCCTCCCGCATTCAGCCGCACTTTTCCCGACCGCGATTCCCTCCTTCTCTCCCCCACCCCCCCTGCCCGGCAACCCCTCTTGCTCTCCCCTTCATTGGAGCCGGTTTCTCCGGTCCTTCCCGCATCCCTCTCCGTCCCCTCCCGCCCTTTCTCTCTCTCTTTCTCTCTCCCCCGTCTCTTTTTTTTCCCGACTCCCCGGTCCTCCTCCAAACGCCTCTTCGAGCGGCCCCTCTGAGTCCCCTGCAGACCTCGCTAACTTGTGGCTGTTGTGATGCGTATTCCCGTAGATCCCAGCACCAGCAGGAGGTTCAGCCCCCCTTCCAGCAGCCTGCAGCCCGGAAAGATGAGCGAAGTCAGCCCGGTAGTGGCGGCAGCCCAGCAGCAGCAGCAACAACAGCAACAGCAGCAGCAACAGCAGCAGCAGCAGCAGCACCAGGAGGCGGCGGCAGTGGCGGTGCCCAGGCTTCGCCCGCACGATAACCGCACCATGGTGGAGATCATCGCCGACCACCCGGCCGAGCTGGTCCGCACCGACAGCCCGAACTTCTTGTGCTCCGTGCTGCCTTCACACTGGCGCTGCAACAAAACTCTCCCGGTGGCATTCAAGGTAAGGAGAGCTGGGCAAACCTTCATCGGTTCGCCCCCCCACTCCCTCCGCCCTTCACGGTGGCCCAAGGCAATTTCCTCGTTTCCTCCTGGCCGGGGTAAGGGGCAAGGCGTCAGGGGGCAGTGTGATAAGTTAGGGCCTTGGCACCCGCTGCGTGCAGTTTAGGGGGGGTTGTAAGTGCTGGCTACTATTCTCCAGGAGCCATTGAGATAGTACTTTCCATCAGCTGGGAATTGCCCATCTTATTGGTACCTGAGCTTGTCTTCTTTTTTTGGGGGGGGGGGGGAATAGCCTTCACTATATGGCCTCCTCCTCTTTGCCTGTTTTTAAAGCCTTCCTTGTTATTGGCACAAGTCAGCTTCTCACTTTTCCTTAAACCCTTAGAAGAAGGGATCCTCTTCCTCCCCTACCCTGATTATTGCAGTGGCCAAAGAATCTTTCCTTCTTTAAAGAAAAGTGCAGAAAAGTTTGAACACGCATTCATCTCCTGCCTTGAGGAGAGAACTTGTGGTCCCCTTTAAAATAGGAGATTGGTGTCTTTTGCCACATCAGAAAAGGAGGCACTGTATATTTGTGGACAGATCTATCCTTAATCTCAGTCCTCTATTGACTATTAGTTTTTTTTTTACTATCTAGAATGTCTGCTTATAGTTCTTGATCAACATTTACCTCCCTCATGTTGGCTCTAGACTGAAGTTCATTGGCTTATTCTTAGCAAACTGCCTAGTAAGACTAACACAAATTAGAGTGAAGTATTAATATATAGAGAGAGCATTTTAAATAAAAGGACAAAAGGTTTTCCATAAATAATCGTAAAGATAGGATTTGTCTAATTGACCATCAGAGTCAGTTAAATGCTCCAAGACACCAGGCAAAATCTTTGGGGGACGCTGGAACTGTTCTTCCCAAATGAAAGACTTTCAGGGGTTTGATCTCTGCAGTGTTTCCATCATTTGGTCCTAGGCATCTTTCTGACCCATCTTTCCAATGTCATTTTAACTTTCCTGGGTTTTCTTTCTTTTTCTTGTTTAATTTTCCCAACCATAAAATGAGTGTCTGTTCTGGAAGAACTTTGAATTCATTGATGTTGATCTAAAAATGGAATTGAGCAGAAGTTTCATTGTGGGAGGTGCCTCTTTTGCATCTGGTTGTGTTTGTTGTATCTCTCCAGGGCATTACATAAAAAGTTCTGCTGGAAGCTGTTTAGACAGACATCTTTCATAGAAGGTGTTTTGTTGATTTGTGGAGTAATGAGGATGAAAGTGTCTTTAAAACTAGTGACAGAAAGGAAAAGCTGTTGATTGGGTCTGGGTGGGAAGATTTCTGTTGGGGAGGGGAAGATTGTGTTGGACTCCTGCTGGGCAAATTGGGAAGCATTTGCACAGAAGGGTGGGTTTGGGAGTGGGTTTTTGTTTTTTGGGGCAAGGCAGAGTGTCAATATTTTTAACATGATCACAGATCAGTGAAATGCTATTCAGAACTGAATCAAGAATGGCTTTATTAATATTTTACAGTGTACTCTCACTCAAATTTTAGAAAACAGAATGTTATCTCCACTTTCCTTTCTCTGGTATCTATTTTCACAATCCTCAACTGCATCTCCTTATCTGTACTGCAGATTTATGCACCCACATTTCCTCTTTAATGGGATGACTCTTGTTCAGTAGAAAAGGAATAATAGCCAATACATAAGAAAGCTAAACATTTCACATGAACATTACCATAGTACACCTATCCTTTATTATGTCTATGTACATAGAAACAAAATATGTATATATGTAGCCCTAATACACACACACACATACACACACACATAAACTGAGTCCATCATATCTAACCCAATCTGCAGAAACTTCCCCCTCCCATATAACAAAGCTACACTGAATTCTGAGTTTAAAATAATAATGGATTAAATGAATAAGGGGTCAGGATTCCCCAGAGAGTGGAATATTAGTACCGAAAGAGATATTTCATGCATAAACAAGACATTATGGAGCTATTAGGGAAACAGTGAGTTTGGTTTGGGAATTTAGTTCAAGTTTGTATTTGTTCCAAACATGCAATGACCTCTCCAGTTGGAGATTCCTGGGAATAGTAACTAAATCACTGAAGAATCTAATATGCCATGTGGTCTTGCCACAGCTTTGCTAAAATGAAGTTCCGTCATTTAAAACGGCACAACGTTTTAGGTACTTTCAGCTTAGTTCGGTGGCCATCCATTAAAGGATGAAAGTGTTAATAAACTGAGTTTTTAAATTGTGTGTTGGAATGAACTCATTAACAGCTTGGATGTAATACGTAGCTATACCTAGAATCACTGAAAAAGAGAGAGATCTTCTTTGAATCTGATTACTGTCATTATTCTGCATTGTAGCTTAGCAGGGTAGAAGCTGCAGCTGGCAAGTTTAAAAAGACATTCAGAGCTTTTCCGTGTGTGTTTGTGTGTTCATGCATACAAACTTGATTCTTGCTTGCATGTTTGCCAAATATGTCTGAGGTTTCTCATCTCAAATGAAAAGCCTATGGCAGGTACATTTCTGTAATCATGTCGATGTGTGATAAATTATACTGGTATCAGAATTTTAAACCATGAAAAATAAATATGCTCTTTTCAAATTATTACTGCCACCTGCTGAGTTTTAAACATTAGGGATATGATGTGAGAGTCCAATCTTAAAATGCTAATATAGAAGTAATAGTATCAATAACATTTAATTAAGAAGCAGACCCGATATAATGTCTATATTATACACCAGTATTGATTTGTGGTGATCACAAAGACACCATACAAATTAATTATATATGCCTATTTAGTCTGAATAGTAAAAAAAAAAGTTGTGATACCAAGCATAAAGATCTGCATTCTTAATAACATGTAAATAGAAAATAAAGCAATACAATTTGTTTATAACATACTGCTGCAGATAAAGACCATACCTGAACGAATATTTATAAAATACTGGTAAACGTTTCCACTAAATAATTTTCATAAAAGGATTTGAAGTTATTTGGGAGGTAGATTATTCTGAAAAAAACAAGGCATGATTGCAAATATGTGTATTAATTACAAGATTTAAAGTGGTTGCTTGTATTAGCTATCCTGTGATGAATCCACTTCAAAGGCACACAATATATAGAAGCTTCTTGGAAAAAGCAGCCTTGTAAGCTACATTGGTTTTAATAGTAGTTACAGAACTGCATACAGCTGCATACAGCTTTGCTGAAGTATGATTCAAGTATCAGTTGAGGGAAATGGATTTACTTATAAAAGGTCTTTAATTGGAAAGTAATCCCACATAGCAGTAATGAAATGAAATGTCAGTTGGAAATGCATGTTGACATGATGGTCAAAGACATCATCCACCATGGGTAAATTTATCTGAAGTAGTGGTTTGACTGGAGGCAAATATATTCATAAGATTTCCAAATTCTTTCTCACTTGTGGCAGAGAGAGAGAGAAGGAGAGGGAGAGAGAAGGAGGGAGGGAGGGAGGGAGAGAGAGACAGGGCTCTTTTAAGCTATATTTTGTTGAAATTGTATTGGTCAAGTATTACTGAAGATCATCTTTATATTTGGGGGCTGGTTGAAGAAAAGTCCTGGTTGGATTTATTGCGAAATAAGTTTGCCTAAACATTTCTTTTAGAAATTTCATCTATATTTGATTTTTTTTTTAAAAAAAACAACCTTTCTCCCAGTAAAATGTCAAAAAATTTAATATCATACCTTTATGTAGTAAATTAAGAGCTGAAAAATCAGATATTAAGTGAAAATTGCAACTGTTCCTTAATATTCACGGTGGAAGCAATGTGATCATCTCCATCCATCCACTTTCCCATGAATCATTCTGTATAGTGGGGCTGGATTAGGAATCCAGCATTTGACCCACTGGTAATGTTTTAATGTTTCTTTTAGGGGCACTAATTATGTTTTCACAAAGACACTGCGTCCATTCATCATATCCCTTGCTCCAGAGAAGCCTTATTGGAGTCAGTGGGACTTTACCAAAGTAAGTGGCCGAAGGAATGTAGTCAGAATTATTAGTTATTCAGGTCTCTACATTTTTGCAGACCTAGATGATGCCAGTAGTAATAAAACGCTTGTACATTAAAAGTAACAGGAAAAATAATTACATTTGGTGTGAAGTAATAATGCTGCTAGTAGCATTATTGCGACTATCCAGGATGTTTCCATTTCCATCAGACCCTCAGTTTTTCAGTTGATTTCAATAGCCTCAAATTAAAGTCTAGAATATGAATGGCAAGTAGAGTGCTATTTTTGTAATTAAAAATACTGTAATTGAAATAAGTTACAGCAAAGACTCCAAGTTTTTTAAAAAAAACCTTAGCTGTACTTTTGACTGTTTAGCTACATAAAATTATTTTTGTAATGAATATTTTATATTATTTAAATTCAAAATGTATGTTGCATTTTGTAAAAGATACCACAGTATACAATGTTACAGTTACTTAGAATAGGTTTAAAACATTTGTTCGGGATACTTGCTCAGATAAGATTTTTACTATGATCTAGACTATCAGTTTTTAGTTCTCACCTTGATCATTGGACTGAAAATGGCTAAAGTTAAAATAGCTGATAAAAATATAATTCTGCAAGCTTTTAGCAGATTGTTACTGTTATCACTGTTTTAAACTATGATACAAAATTCCTTTAATTTTTAGTGTGGAAAATGCAAGTTCTCAAAATGTGGTAACTTTGGAAATTATGTATATAGAAAAATATATGCAAGAAGCTAAAAACAATTCTTGCGGCTCAATTGGAAGTGTGCTCTTACGATGCTGTATTTCTTAAAAACAACTGTACAGATTGGATCACTAACTGGATTAATTTACACCATAGTACACTTTACAACATGTCATGTAAATTCTAGATAATTTTAGAAGCACTCATTATCTGTGCCCTAAAAATCTAATTTCCATTTTTATTTAAATAAATTACTTTTACGAAGTTGCTCTGTTTAAATTATTAGCTACCAGGTACATGGAACAGAACTAATTATGTATCTTATTAAGATGGTCTTAAGTCATTTTGTTGTGTTTGTTAAGTCATTCTGTGTTCTAGATCATATCTGCTTAAGTCGCTTTATTTTCAAAAAGTTCCTTTCTTCCATAAAGACTGGGGCAGGGGGAATATAAAGAATGGGATTTGAGGCAGTCAGAATATCCTGAGGTTTATACATAGTTATCACCTTGTGGAGGTTTTTTTCCATGAAAGGTTTACCTTACTTTTTCTTGCTGGACTTTCTTGCTTCTGCCAAGTAAAGGTCCTGCTCTTCTATTCCTGTTTTTAAAATGCCTCACTTTTCATTCCCAAAGTCTTTCCACCCCAAATCCAGGGTTGGGGAGATGAACTGCATATGCATGTTATGGGACTGTATCTTCTATGTTTGCCTCATTTTCTGTGACTGCTGTTGTATTTCCATATTGCTGGTCAGCTCCTTCTTCTCATATCTGCCTACAGTAGAAGTTAATGATGATCATGGTATGTGCGAACATACATTCCATATAATAATCTAAGGCAGATATTTCCAAAATATACACAGCAAGCCATGTTGGTTTTCTGTATAGAATAAAGTAATATATTTCTTTTAAAATGACATACCATCATTGGGACTAGTTGTGGAAGCTTATGATTCACCTTCAAGTGGGCTGTATTTTATGGCTTGATTCACTTTTAGCATTAAAACTAAGTTGGGTGCCCAGTTTGCATGTTGGATCTTTACTTTATTTCACTTCACTTCACTTCAAATTTACTTCACTGCCTTCAAATCATTATTGAGTCCTGAAGAAATTTCTGAAGTTTTCTTGGCAAGGTTTTGGAAGTGGTTAGTCCTTGCCTTCTCCCTAGGCTTGAGAGAGACTGACTGGCCTAAGGTCACTGAGCCAGCTTATGCCTAAGGCAGAACTAGATCTCGTGGTCTCGTGATTTCTACTCTGAAGTCTTCACTACTGCACCAAACTGGCTCTCTGGCTCTAAATGTATAATGCTATTAATAACAATCCATTCTTTTCAGTTGTATATGTTGTAATAATATTTGTGTTGTTATTGTCCAGAATTACAAAATAGCCCTGGGGATGGTTTGAGAAATTAGGAAAGGGAGAAGTTCAACTGGTTCACTTTATAATAACTAGGGCAGAAAATGTATCTCTAGGCTCAACTCTGGGCCTTCCCACATTTGACTGAAGAAAGCAGATACCGTGGATACAAATATGTAACCTATATGCACTTTACATTATAACATACTGGTCCCATTTTGCAGCTGAGGAATATTGACATTCAATGATAAAGTGGGATCAGATAAAATGTACAAAAATAGTAGTGCTACTAACTATGTACATCATTATTTTTTCTCATTTCTCTGCAGACTGAATTTCCTTTTTTGAAATAACTGAAACAACAGAGCATACAAGGGATGCCCCACACATAAATTAAAATTGTAGCAGATATAGTGCTTGTCTTTCACATGGCAAGATAACAACAAAATTGTCTTTCTTCCATATGACAATGTAGTCTTCTTTCTCATTCTTCTTCACAAAATCATTTTTTTTAACTACACAATTTGTATTAATAAAATAGAAACTCACCTTGTGTGCTCTTCCTGGCTTAATGTGTGCCTGGATGCATGATTTGGAATCAAGTAGGAGTGATTTAATTCCTCCTTTACAGAAGTTATAGTTATTTAGGTTCCTTGCTCCCATCGGTAGGAAACTCTTTGTGCCAGATGATGAAAAAGATAGAAGTCTAATAATGTGGAACACTCCAAAGTCCCTCAGATTTCAACAGGTAGTTACTTATGTATCCATGATTGATTTATTCTTTTATTCAGCTGAATTGATTTCGAGATGCTTAACTTTGAATCTGTTTACACCCATTGGAGCCATATGCTGAAATCATGAATTCTAAGTTGTTCATAGTATGGCTGAAATACATATAATGCTGAAAAGTGTAGTTAGAAAGCAAAATTGAAAATAAAATCTGTCCAAGTTTATTGTATTTTTTATGGTCATATTAGTTTCTTGGTTCACAAAGCTATTTGCAATATTGAAACAGAAATCCAGAATATACTTGACAAATATTTTCACTGTGATTGTGCATTTATTTCTTGCACTACAGGATTGAAAGTGTTACCTTATCGCTGTGTGAGATCATAGGAATAGACCAGGGCTGTCAAACTCCTGGCCCGTGGGCCGGATGCATTGTGCGCTGGCCACGCCCACATCCAGTTTAACAAAGGGGGGAAAAATCCTGATATGTCACGTGACACCATCGTGACAATGTGAGTTTAACACCCCTGAAATTGACAGTTTAACATATTGTTATAAATGTAGCGTCCAGAATTCATAAAGTATATTTCTATAGTCTAAAAATGCAAAATACTTAAATTTTAAATGTGATTGAGTGTTATTTTCTACATTTACAATAATTTGGTACTGTTCTGTTTGGTTCTGTAGATAACTCCTTATAATAATAAACAGCCAAAGGAGAAATTATGTTGCAGAAACAAAACTGACAGTTTAAACTGAGATTCTTAAACTTTTAATATAGTTCTCATATTTTTCAATGTTTTTTCCCATAATACTGAAAATTAGAACCCTTTTATCTTCTTTTGCTTTGCATTATTTAAAACAAAATTAAATAGAGACTTATTCCATGAGTGAAACTTGGATGTGAAGCTGTAGTGGAATACACAGATGTAGGGATCCTAAGAATCAGCATATTCTCATGCAAACATCATCTTTCTTTTAGTATTAAAGCATAGGAGATCACCATTTTATCTATTCTGTCCCATGTGGTTTCTGGAGGTATGCTGACTTAGCAGTCTTTGAAAGCTAAGATCCGATCTTAACCATTATGTGGGGACTGTGCAATGATATCATACATGGGGAGGAGGGGTATTGGGGAAGTTAAGCAGTTTTTCATTGGTTGTTTGATATATTTATTTTAGGGCTTACACTACTGTTTTAATAAGTTTTACTTTGAAAAGACAGACATTTGCACTGCTCGTTTTAAAAAAAGCATGATCAAGGTGAGTTCTGAGGGCTGAAAAACTGAGATTTGGCAAATTCATATGAATATAACATCACCTCCAGTGTCATGATTGCCAATGCTGTGGCCTATTGCTGTAATATAGTAATTGAACAAGACTTGGTGTTTATAGCAATAGCACTTAGATTTACATATCACTCCACAGTGCTCTTACAACCTTCTCTAAGTGATTTACAGAATCAGCATATTGCCCCCAACCATCTGGCTCCTCATTTTACCAACCTTGGAAGGATGGAAGACTGAGTCAACCTTGAGCCAGTGAGACTCAAAGTGCTGGCAGTTGGCAAAGTTACCCTGCAATACTGCATTCTAACCATTGCGCCAGCCCTATCTGACTATGGAAGTTTCATGAGCAACAAACCTGTGAAATTATAGAGTGGTCTTAACCAGTCCATCTTGCTCAACTTTTGCATGCATTTGGATTATGTCTATTGCTTAATTTGTGCATAAATTATGCTGTGGAGTAGAAACCAGAGCCCCATATTCAGCAGGAGGCCACTGAATGGCTGCTTCCTGTTGCAAATGTGCTCATACTCAAGGAGTAGAATCATAACCATTTGGAAAATAATGGACATGATTGGCCTGAACCTTCCCCTCTTCTGCTAATACAATTAAAGGATGCAAGCAACATTAACTACCAAGTATTTAGTGTTTGGTTTGTGATTCAAAGAAGTTAAGAAATTATTGTTATGTCTTTATTGTCATAGGTGGTGGCTTTAGGAGAAGTCCCTGATGGGACAGTGGTCACAGTCATGGCTGGAAACGATGAAAATTATTCTGCAGAGCTGAGGAATGCCTCAGCTGTAATGAAGAATCAAGTGGCACGGTTTAATGACCTGAGATTCGTTGGCAGAAGTGGAAGAGGTAAATAATTTCATTATAGATTTGTTAAACCAACAACTGAAAGCACAGTCAAGACCTAAAATGGCATCCATTAACAATTAATCCACTACTATTAAACTTTCATTTATAAGTTATATGTAGGCTGCAACATTCTTTAAATAGGCTTGGTCACCTACTACAGGATTGTTTTCCTATGGATGGAGGGATGGGTGTGTGTGGGGGGGGTGTTATATGAATGTAAGGAAGGAAGGAAAAGAAAGAAGAGAAGAAGAAAGGAAAAATCTGGATTTTGAGGGGGGATTGCTTTCTGATATCAGCAAATGAGTTGAAGAAAGGAAGCATGATGGTATTTCTCTTTTAGTACACAGTTCACTTTGCAATTTTTCACTTCTGATGAGGGAAAAAAATGTGTTGCCAGATTCAAGGACAGTTAGGTAGTCTTAGTGGATTCAGGGAATTCTTCTCAAGTAAACATGCATAGGATTACAGTCTTAATAATAAAAGTATTTCCTGGTTCTAGTAGAAGAATTATCATATATTTTCCAATTTTAGTATTGGGTGCTGGTGTGTTTATAAACAGTCTCCTCCGGTTTTGACGTAACTGACTTTTTGTGAATCCATTCAAAGTACTTTCTAAATAAGTTGTGAGCAGAGAAGTTACCCTGCTTTTCCCTATCAACTTTTTTTTCCAATTTGATGAAAGAGAATTTAATTCAGACATTCTTTCAAGGGAGGTTAGGAAGTTGAATGTTCTCAAGGAGGTGGTGTGATTCTTTTGCATTTATTTAAATATGAGGAGGCCAAGGGATGTATATCTGTGATTGTGTGAACATACTCTTCTTTGTCAGCCATTTGCAGCTTCCATGGCTTCCCAGTCTTCAATTCAATTCTAAGGGAAAACTTCATAAGGTATCACAAGCCTTCAATGGGTCTTTCTCAGAAAAGGTTGTCTCTGAAAACCACTAAAGGGATGTTAATTAAACCCATTTGTAAAGATGTTATGCCTAGATTTGAGCAGCTATATAAATGGGTTAAATAAATACACACAACGTTCTTCTCCATGTCATGTTCTCATTTACTGTAGCTGGAAATCCAGAAGGAAGCATAGAAGGAGGCAGAAACAAAACTGAGGATTCTGGTGGATAGCCAGAGAAAAAAATATGTTTGCAGGTATCACATAGGTGAGAATAGGGGAAAATGTCGAGTACCTATCTTATTTTTGTACTGAATATACAAAACAAATTTATATAGCTGTCCATTTCAGTGGTTACAATACTGATTTAATGAGTTAGTCATTTCTCTTACCGAAGAGTACCATCAACCCCAATATTCCTTTTATACCAATAAGACTCTATTTGGAATTCTGCTACTTGCATGAGAAATGAAGATAATAGCTAAGCGGAGAACTCAAAATAAGCAAACAAAACCCTTAAAGGCAGCAACACCTGCTCACCACATTGCATTAGTTGTAAATAAAATTTTGGCTCAAGTTAAAATTTACTCCACAGCACTTCCTGAAGCAGGGATAGCAGTGCAAAGCTCAAGGTAAAGAAAACCTTGCTAGATTCGGCATTTGCCATTTCTCTGGAAATAGGAGGTAAGAGCTGGTTACAAATTTAAGTATAATAGACAAGTTTGAGGGCACCATCCAAAAAGATAAGATGGCCTGGTAACCTTGTGCTTCTGAGGAAGGCTATTTTAGCATAGTGTTTACACTTGAACTCAGAACACAAGGAACTCTGGGTCAAATCCTGTGTCCTGGCCTGCATTAAAAGACTCCAAACTTCCTTGGTTGAATAAAAGCAAAACAAAACAAAACCAGTTTCAGGAAAACAAAAACCTCAGTACTTTCTGGCTATGTAATTAACACAAATGCAAATCTGGGAACAAAGGCATGACTGTCCACAATCAGAATTTCAACCAGTATCTTAATTCTTTCACTCAGATTGCGAAGTGTTGCTGTTCTTCTAACTTCTAGCTGAAAATTTTACTTTTAAGAATGTGGTCAATACTTTATGCGTATCCAAGCTGATTTCAATTCTGAATGATAAAATACAACTTCAAAGATAATACAACTTAATTTAAAAAAAAAAGACCATTGGATAAAAAGGAAAGGCCTTATACTTTTTATAAGATTTTAATAACATTTTGATATTACATTTTTATTTGTCTTTATGTTGATTGATTATACTTGAAAAGATCTCTGGCTTGTAAAAAGAAGTATGGTGGTTCCATCATATAATTATTGCTGAAAACAAACATAAATATGATGGAACATGTGTGTTTCAAAATTCAATGGAAGGAAAAGTTTATCCGTCTCTCTCTCTCTCTCTCTCCCTCCCTCCCTCCCTCCCTCCCTCCCTCCCCCCTCCTCCCCCCTCTCCCTCCCTCCCTGCCTATCTTCTTTAACTGTCACAAAGGAAATGAAATGAGTAATTAGAGAATCATTGTAATTATTCCCCACATTTACATTTCATCAGTGAGAAGTTTACTCAGATCAATATGAGTAAAATCTAGAAAAAGATGATGATGTACTGTAGAAACTGTTCAATATAGTTATTCAAAGAACTTCAAAGGAAAGCAAAGGGTATATGCACAGTTTTCCTACATTAGCTTTCCATGTTTTGGCTACTTTCCCAAATACCAATTTTTATATTGAAAAAAGAAGTAAAAAAGAATAAAAAA